AAGAGAAAATATTTGCCTTCAGGTTTAAGCGAAAACCGTTTGTACTTAGACTATGTAGAGTATTGTAAAGAACGTCAAGTTGTACCTGAAAAGGCCAGTTTTTACAAATTTATTTTTACCAACGAATTTAATTATGGTTTCCATCGCCCTAAGAAGGATCAATGTGACCATTGTATTCAATTTAAGAATAGGCCAGAGCATGAGCAGCAACTTCATAAAGAAGAGTATGATTTGCATATTATTCGTAAAAACGAAGCAAGAAAGCATAAAGTTCTTGACAAAAATCGTACCAAAGTAGATCCTGGCTTTATTGCCTTTGCTATGGACCTGGAAAAACTACTATTAGCTCCAAACTTACAGGCTGGTCAGGTGTATTATAAAAGAAAGTTAAAGATTTACAATTTTACATTGTATAATTTAGGAGATTCTGAGGCTACAAATTATATGTGGCATGAAGGAGTAGGTACTAAAGGTGCATCGGAGATAGCCACTTGCATTTGGATGCATTTATCGTCATTGGCTCCTGAGATAAAAGAAATAACTTTATTTTCTGATACTGCTTCTGGCCAGAATCGGAACACTATTATTGCCGCAATGTTTTTACATGCAGTAACAGTTTTGCCAATCCAAACCATTAATCAAAAGTTTATGGAGTCTGGACATTCAGAGATGGAATGCGATAGTGTACACTCTGCAGTTGAAAACAGAGGGAGGCATGTAGATATCTATACACCAGAAGGCTGGTACACTGTCGCACGTACGGCTAAAACAACAAAGCCATATTACAAGATCAAAGAGTTGACATATTCAGATTTTATTGACTTTAAGTCGTACAGTAACAAAGTTATCACAAATAAAAATAAAACAGATACTGGTGACAATATGAACTGGCTGTTATTAAAATGGATACAATATCGAAAAGAAAGTCCTAAAATTATATTTTTCAAGAACCAATTATCAGAAGAAAATTTTAAATCTTTACCTATACAGCGCAAAGCTCTACGCAAATCTACTATGACACCATGTTGCGATTTACAGAAGCTCTATAACAAAAAGCTTAAGATCTCTGCCAATAAACTTAAAGATCTGAAGGATCTCTGCGCAAAGGTACCATACCTTCGGTGTATCATGATTTTTATAACGATCTGGAAGAAGGACTAATTAGTGACAACTCAGAAAGTGAATAATTTATTTTAACTTCCTCATTTTTCTACATTACTTTTTAATTGTTAATTTGATTTATTTTCCTTTAATAAAAGTAAATGAACAATTAATTATTATGTATTTATTTTTAAACACTCCACTCCGCTTGCGCGTTTTTATCTATTTAGATTGATATGTCATCGGAATAAAAAGTCAATAAGGCAAGAGAGTTAAGTGACATACACCTCGTAATATGAGTATTACATTGTAAATAAAATGGTAGTCAATAGGTCTAAGCCACATAACTTTTAAACCATGATGTTTTGATATTTTTTAATTATAGCATTCAATGGTAACACGTTTTAATAATCTAAGGTAAAAATTTGAACTCTCTACTAAAATATGACGCTGATTTATGTTAAAATAACTGTTCTTACTCGCATCATTTAGTTTTTAAACGTCCATAACTCAGAAGTGTAGTTCTGTGGAATAGCTCCATTACCTTCCAAGGCGACGATATGATAAGCAACCTATTCCAGTTAGAGGCAATTTTAAATTTTTGGGAGTTATCCTTGATTGGAAATTGGCCTTCGGTCAATACATTGAATATATAACACAAAATTGCGAAAAAAACAAATATTTTTCGGTCTTTGTCTGGTGTTTGGTGGGGGTCCCATCCTTTTTCTCAGAAATTACTGTACAATGCTTTAATACGAAGCCACCTTGACTATGGATGTTTTCTGTTGAGAGTCTTGCAATAAATCATCCCTGAAAGTAATGGACAAAATTCAATCGAAATGCCTTCGCATTATTACAGGGGCAATGAAATCCTCACCAATAAATGTTCTTCAGGTTGAGTGCATCCTTTAAGATTAAGAAGGCAATACCTTTCAGAGAGATTCTTATTTAAGATCTGCCAGCTTTCAGATCATCCCCTAATTCCTAAATTGCATCTTCTTTCAGAGTATATCTCATCTGACCGATACTGGACCCATAAGGACTCTGCCTGCTTGTTTAAGTTTTGTAATTTTTCTTCAGCTTCCTTACCCAATCTTTCAATGTAAAATGAATCCACTCTGATGTCCTTTACGAGGCTATTGTTTACCAACCTGACATTCATCTAGATCTAGGTATAGAAAAAGGTTCTCCAATGGCAAATTTGAAATTAAAAGAAATTATAGAAAACACCTTTAAAGATTGGCTTGTTATGTACACAGACGCTTCAAAACAGTCTGATGAAGACTATACTGGAGCTGCTGTTTGGATTCCTAAGTTCAAAATCATTCTTAACTTTAAATGCCCCTCACTATCCTCCACTTTTACCGGTGAAGCAACTGCAATCAGTGAAGCTTTGTTATATGTAGAGTCACATAATCTTAATAAAACAGTTATTTTCACAGATTCAAAAAAGAATAAATAGGGATGTGCTATGGCAAACACTGAACTCATTTGGGTTGAGCGCTGGCTTGATGCAGGCATTGGAGTCCCTTTATAGGGACTCTAGTGCTTGTGTTAGGATCAACGGGGTCTACTCGGACTGGTTTGACATCCATAAAGGTGTCAGACAGGGCTGTGTGGCTTCCCCGTGGCTGTTCAACCTATTTATGGACAGTTGTTTGCAAAATTTGAAAGTTGAAGAATGCGGATTAAGAATGGGTGAGTTAACCGTCAAATGCCTTTTGTACGCCGATGATCAAGTTATCCTTGCGTCGTCGGCGGCCGAGTTGCAAATGATGGTTACATTAATGAACGGATCATTAAAAGAAAGGGGTATGAAAGTGAACGCAAGTAAGACGAAGGTTATGGTTTTTGAAAGAGAAGAAAGTAAAACGATTTGTGAAATAAGAATAGAAGGGGAGTTGATCGAGCAAGTAGATGAGTTTGTATATTTGGGCTGCGTATTTAGCAGGGATGGGAGATATGATAAGGATATAGAACAACGAGTGAATGCGGGAAATAGAGTAAATGGGGCCCTGCACTCTATTGTGAAGAGTCAAAATGTATCGAAAAAGGCACGTATGGCAATTCACAATGCTGTGTTGGTCCCTACTTTAACGTATGGTAGTGAAAGTTGGGTGTGGCAGAAGAAGCACGAGAGTAGAATGAACGCAGTAGAAATGCGGTCTTTAAGGAGTATGTTAGGGCTGAATCTTAATGACAGGGTAAGAAATTGTGTAATAAGAGAAGAGTGTGGTTTGCAAGATGACGTTGTGACCAGGATTAAGAAAGGAATGCTTCGGTGGTTTGGTCATGTGGAAAGAATGAATGAGGAAAGAGTGACAAAGAAAATTTATGTTGCAGAAGTGAATGGCAGAGTCGGAAAGGGGCGTCCTAGGCGAAAATTTATCGACCAAATTGGCGATTTATGGAAAACGGGCCAAATTAGGAGTACCTTTAACCGACGAGCATGTATGCGGAGGTGTATGGATGTGAAGGAGGCGAGAGAGGTGTGTCAGGATCGTGCCAAATGGAAGTCTGTAGTCTCTGCCTACCCCTCTGGGTGACAGGCGTGAGTGTTTATGTTATGTCAAAAAGTTGTTTGTTAGCTATATTGTTCAATCAATTCCATAACAAACTAAATAAATTTCCACTAATTCTTAAAATAAAAAATACCCTATTTGGATGCCATCTTAAAGGAATCCATGTTTCAGTGGCCTGGATTCCAGGCCACAGTGGTATCCATGGTAACGAAACAGCTGATGTACTCGCTAAAAATGCAATTGCTAATGGCATTCTACAAAATTTAATTTACTCACATGACCTAATTTTGCTAGCTAAAAGGAAACTGAATGAAAATTGGAATAAATTATTGGAAGTTTCCAAAAATGTTAAAGGTAAGTACTATGCTGCCATCCAAGAGGTTATTCCTCCCAAGCCTTGGTTCTTTAAATTTAACAAAGCAAATAAACATGCAACTTCAATCATTTGTAGATTAAGAATTGGACACGCTTGTACAAATGCACATCTGGCAAAAATCAGAGTAAGGGATAGCTCATTGTGTGAATGTGGCTTAGATGAAGGTTCCACAAACCATATTTTTTTCAACTTTCCCAAATTATCCTCCTCCCTTTATGATTCCCTTCCACCTTATATTCCTCGACCTATAGATTTTAATTCTCTTTTAACCTATACCAGTACTCCTTTCGTGTATATTTTATGTGATTTTATTAATACTAATAATATGAAACTTTAAATCCTTGTCACGTTTAACATACTGGTAAGAGTCTAACACCTGTGTTTGTCATATTTGTTCTAGGTAATTCAACAAATAGATTTGTCAAAATTCTCGGAGGAAAACTGTATCCTTGTATTATCACAGACTCTTATTTTAATTAAACTCAAAAGCTTTCATTTTCCACTCAATACGTCATTGGCGAATTTTATCAAACCGCCACAAAACAAAGAAAAAAAAGAAAATGGGTCATCCAGTATATTTGTGTTAAGTATAGAACTAAAGTCACAACAAGAGTAACATGTCTCTCTTCTCAATAACACCAACATAATAAACAACTTAAAAAAACTGCAGTTGTCAGTTTAAAAAAGATTAAAATTGTAAAAAATTGCATTATATAACATAAATAATATAAGATAAAAATAGTATAGTTAGTAATGTTTACTCATAAGCTCCAATAAGGAAAATAATTATTTATATGTAGCAATAAAATATCAACAGTTTTCAATGGCAACACTGAAATCATGTCCTCCATTTTTAACTTGACTATTGAAAGTCAGTTGTAACGTACACTAAATTAATAAACCCAGTTTTACCGCTTAAAATATTCTTAGTGTGTTTTATTTAACTAGTACTACACACAAAACATTGGACACCTGTTATTAAGGTAGAAACACAAACATACTTGACTCGCTTACTCGGCAACTCCTGTTTCACAGTCTCCTTTTCCCTCTGCCTCTTTGATCTTAGTGATAGGTTTTTGTCTTCAACCTGGAAATAAGCAAAATTATAAAACTTTATAAACACATTACAAATATATTGTTGCATTACTGTTACGTCGAAGAATCGACATGCGAATAAAGGTTTTTGAGTGACAGCGTCATACCATACTGGAAAAAAAAGTTCACTGAATCATTTCAAAGTTATTTACTTGAGAGAGTCATGCTGCAGCTATATTATGGTTGCAATTGACTGTTTCGTTGGTCTAGTGGTTATAGTACTGCGACTGCTGATTATGAGGGTTCGAATCCTAGGTCGGGCCAAAAATCAATTATTGAGTTTTCCATTAAGAAAACCTCAGTAGCTGCCCGGAGTCAGGCAGTTGGCGGTGTCTCACCCCCGTGTTTCGGAAAGCACGTAAACCATTTGGTCCTGCGCCTGATCTCTCACTGATTGTGTCTGCTTACTGTCCCATCGGATTATGAGAGTAAGGCAATACAGAATGCAGCTGTGCTTGCGCATACACTTGAGCACTATAATCCTGTCCTGCGCCGATGGCAAGCCTCCGTTGAGACAGGCCGCTGTGGCTGAAATTCGATCTGGAGGACATTATGGTTGCAGCATGATAGAGTCGGTTCAACTGCAGAAGGACCACATTTTCACACAATATCAGCGTTAATAGCAGTTTAATGCTGCTGTGCTTCATTTGGTGAGAGTAAAGAACCACTTTATACAGTTAATAAGTACTATTTGGAGTTAGTGGAACGCTTTCCCGAGTTGCGGAAAATAGCCTGTCGCCTATGGCGATTAGTTCGTCATAGGCGACAGGCTATTACCACTACTGGTACTACTGGTAACTAGGCAATCTATCTTAATCCTTAGGAATCAGTGATGATTGCTGTTATCACCAATATCTAGGATTTGTGTTCACAGAATACTAGCTTAAAATAGTAGCTTGATGCTGCTGTATTTCGTATGGTGAGTATAAAGAACCGGACACCCGTTTTACCGGAATCAAGGCATTCCATCTTAATCCTCAAGGGTGACAATGCATTTGCATTTTGATTCTTAATCGAGGTTAAATGTAGATGTCTATGGGCCACAGCATCCACTTACCATCAGGTGGACTGTGTGCTCGTTTGTAACCCTTATCCCATTAAAAAAAAGCGTTATTTGTGTAATATATTCTCGTTCAGCAGTCTGCGCAGACTATACCCCTATCCCCAAGTTTCCTTTCCAAGTTTTTATTTACCTTTACGTTGACTTCCTTTTCTTTCTTCAATATTGATTTAAGAGGCGGCGCTACTTTCCTCCCTTTCTGGAAAGAAAATTAAATTTCACATATTGTAAAGTTTTATATTTCTATTCGTTTTGAAAAGGTAGTACATGTATTTTAAACTATAATTCAAAATAGCGGCAATTTTTTACTACCTCCGGTTCCGAAATACGTTTAATGTTTCAAATCTCTAGCTCATTAGGTAGTTAATATTAAAATAGTGTAATATGGTACCAAACTAACAAACATACATTTGGACAGGAAAGGGTATATATATTGGATTTTTATTTAGTTTTGAGCTATATTTAAAGTTTAAAATAATCTACCTTATCGGGAAGCTATCATCATCATTACAGCCCTTCACAAGTCCACTGCTGAACACAGGCCTCCCAAGGAATGTCACAAAGCACGGTCCTGAACCACTTGCATTCATTGACATCCTGTATGTCTTACCAGGTCGTCACTCCATCTAGTGGGGAGACACCCTACACTTCGCCTACCAGTACGAGGCTGCCACTGTAGAACCTATTTACCCTATCGGTTGTCGGTTCTTCGAGCTATATGGCCGGCCCATTGACACTTCAGCTTATAATCCGTTGGGCTATGTCGGTCACTCTGGTTCTAATGCGGATATCCTAATTTCTAAGTTTATCACACAGCGTAGAGAGAGTAGTCGTAGAACTCGTAGAAGTCATTAACTTTATCAACGCACAACTCGCAAATGAGCGGTGGCATTTTGTCATCCAGATTTACCTGAAAGAATAGACAGATATGCTTCGCATTACCATACCAGCCCATTACAGTCCACTGCTGAACATAGGCCTCCCCCATAGATTGCCTCATAGGTGGAACTTTGCCATAGTTGTAATGTTACGGTTGATTTAATATTTTCACTTTCAGTGGGTATGTGCTCCTGGTAGATTATTTCTACGTTGTGTTACTGTTGATTTAATTTTCACCTCTCAGTGGGTCATGTGCTTCTCTGGTAGATTATCTTCTACATAGTTGTAATGTTACTACGTTGATTTAATAATTTCACCTCTCAGTGGGTCATGTGCTCCTGGTAGATTATCTTCTACATAGTTGTAATGTTACTGTTGATTTAATAATTTCACCTCTCAGTGGGTCATGTGCTTCTTTGGTTATCTTCTACATAGTTGTAATGTTACTGTTGATTTAATAATTTCACCTCTCAGTGGGTCATGTGCTTCTCTGGTAGATTATCTTCTACATAGTTGTAATGTTACTACTGTTGATTTAATAATTTCACCTCTCAGTGGGTCATGTGCTCCTGGTAGATTATCTTCTACATAGTTGTAATGTTACTGTTGATTTAATAATTTCACCTCTCAGCGGGTCATGTGCTTCTCTGGTTATCTTCTACATAGTTGTAATGTTACTGTTGATTTAATAATTTCACCTCTCAGTGGGTCGTGTGCTTCTCTGGTAGATTATCTTCTACATAGTTGTAATGTTACTGTTGATTTAATAATTTCAACTCTCAGTGGGTCGTGTGATCCTGGTAGATTATCTTCTACATAGTTGTAATGTTACTGGTGATTTAATAATTTCACCTCTCAGTGGGCCATGTGCTCCTGGTAGATTATCTTCTACATAGTTGTAATGTTACTGTTGATTTAATAATTTCACCTCTCAGCGGGTCATGTGCTTCTCTGGTAGATTATCTTCTACATGGTTGTAATGTTACTGTTGATTTAATAATTTCATCTCTCAGTGGGACGTGTGCTTCTCTGGTAGATTATCTTCTACATAGTTGTAATGTTACTGTTGATTTAATAATTTCACCTCTCAGTGGGTCATGTGATCCTGGTAGATTTTATCTTCTACATAGCTGTTGTTACTGTTGATTTAATAATTTCACCTTCTCAGTGGGCCATGTGCTCCTGGTGGATTATCTTCTACATAGTTGTAATGTTACTGTTGATTTAATAATTTCACCTCTCAGTGGGTGGTGTGATCCTGGTAGATTATCTTCTACATAGCTGTTGTTACTGTTGATTTAATAATTTCATCTCTCAGTGGGTCGTGTGCTCTCTGGTAGATTATCTTCTATATAGTTGTAATGTTGCTGTTGATTTAATAATTTCACCTCCAGTGGGTTGTGTGCTCCTGGTAGATTATCTTCTACATAGTTGTAATGTTGCTGTTGATTTAATAATTTCACCTCTCAGTGGGTCATGTGCTTCTCTGGTAGATTGTCTTCTACATAGTTGTAATGTTACTGTTGATTTAATAATTTCACCTCTCAGTGGGTCATGTGCTTCTCTGGTAGATTATCTTCTACATAGTTGTAATGTTACTGTTGATTTAATAATTTCATCTCTGTGTGGGACGTGTGCTTCTCTGGTGGATTATCTTCTACATAGCTGTAATTTTACTGTTGATTTAATAATTTCACCTCTCAGTGGGTCATGTGGTCCTGGTAGATTATCTTCTACATAGCTGTTGTTACTGTTGATTTAATAATTTCACCTCTCAGTGGGTCATGTGCTCCTGGTAGATTATCTTCTATATAGTTGTAATGTTGCTGTTGATTTAATAATTTCACCTAGGGGTATGTGCTCCTGGTATTATCTTCACATAGTTGTAATGTGCTGTTGTTTAATAATTTCACCTCTCAGTGGGGCATGTGCTCCTGGTAGATTATCTTCTATATATCCATCCATTGCAGCCAATTAAAGTATAGAACATAGGCCTACAGGCCTCCCCCATAGATTGCCCCATAGGGGAGATATTTGCTATTGTTGGGGGCCATTCATTAATTATGTAAGCTTGACATTTTGGCGATTTTTGACCTACCCCCATGTAAGGGTACATAAGTTTTCCCTTCGCCTCTTCCTACATAAGATTCTATCTAGTTTTTCAGAATATTAAACTGTTGTTAGAAAAAGAGAAGTTACGTTAAAACTCACAGTTTGATGTAAATCAAAAATTATGTGGATAAAGGAGAGGAAATAAAGATGACTTATTAATAAGCGGAAAGAATGTACTTATAATTATTATTTATATTATCCAAAATGGATAAAATTAACACATTTAAAAATTTTTAAACTTTAATAAGCAATAAAAATTTGTAAAATAGGATGGTAAATCGAAGTGTACATTACAGAATGAAGAAAACTATTCGGCATCCGAGAAACTAGAATTCTAAGAATGTTTTAGAAATGGGTTTAACCCCAAACCCCCCCCCCCACCCCCAAGATAAGGGCATGTAAATGTATCAGGTATCGACGCTCAACAGGGTGGCGCAAATTCTGTGGTAGCATAGAAACCTGTGAACAAGCAAATCGGATAAGGAAAATCCTAGCTAAACAGAACACGCCGAGATCTATCTCTTTAAAGAAACCCGCCGGAAGCTACTCAACATCGCCGGATGAAACCCAACGCATCCTAATTGATACTCACTCCCAGGTTGCTGTGTAGTTGAAAAGGAGAACCGGCATGAAGATGCACCGACACCAACAAAAGAAGACTGGGAATTAGCACAAAGAGTGGTGACGATGGACAAAATCCATTGGGCCATTCATAGTTTCCAACCCTATAAGGCAGCAGGACCTGACGGCTTATTCCCGGCACTTCTTCAGTGGGGGGGGGGGGGTAAAGTCCTAATAGTCAGACTTGTTGCCATAATGAGAGCATGTCTGGCTCTTAAATATGTTCCTAGGGGATGGAGGGAAGTGAAAGTCGCGTTCAAACCCAAACCAGGTAAGAACGACTATACAGACCCTAAATCCTACAGACCTATTAGCCTCACATCCTTTCTCCTAAAGACGGTGGAGAGGATGTGTGAACGGGAGTTGAGAGGGTCGGCGCTAATAAACTAACCGCAACACGAAAAACAACACGCCTATAGCTTAGGTAAATCAATAGAATCGGCACTTCACCAGGTAATAACAAAGATTGAAGAGGCCATCCAAAACAAAGCAATATGTCTAGGCTCCTTCATAGACATAGAAGGTGCTTTTGACAGAACAAATTTCTCCAGCATAAAAGGTGCCCTAAGTAGATATAATGTTGAACCGGCACTGATTAACTGGATAGTAAACATGCTCAGTACACGAAAAATAAAGATTGCTGGTGAATCTCAGACAATTCAGATCATGAAAGGATGCCCGCAGGGTGGGGTTCTTTTACCTCTCCTGTGGAATATGGTCATTAATGAACTCATCAGCAAATTAAACGCTAATCATTTCTACACAGTCGGTTATGCAGATGATCTGACAATACTGGTCTCTGGTAAGACAGCAAGCATTGTGTGCGACCGGACCCAAGCGGCTCTCCGTATTGTGGAGAGATGGTGCAGGGAATATGACCTAACCGTTAATCCAAATAAAACCGTTATAGTAATGTTCACACAAAAACCTATGTTGAATAACTATCATCTTCCAAGTCTTTTCAGCACAAAACTCCAACTTTCTTCTGAGGTAAAATACCTAGGTCTTGCCTTGGACAGTAAACTTAACTGGAACAAACACATAGAAAACAAAATCAGCAAAGCTAGTTTAACTTTCTGGCAGTGCAGAAACATGATCGGCAAACGATGGGGTTAACGCCAAAAATTATACTGTGGCTGTACAAAACTGTAATTCGGCCCATGATCACATACGGCTCTCTGGTATGGTGGACCAAAACCAATGAAGCCACCACTATACGAAAGCTTCAGCGTTACCAGAGATTGGCTTGTATGGCTGCCACGGGCTGCATAAGGACAACACCAACAGCAGCTTTGGAGGCTATGCTGGAGCTAACACCGCTTCATCTATATATACAACAAGAAGCAACTTTAGCTGCCATTAGACTCAAGACCCCAAATCTTTTAAGTAAGAGTAGAGTCCCCCATACAGATATAATCGATAGAATTTACTCAAAAATTCCTATCTTACAAGCCAAGTATGATAGGATCCCAAAACAATTTGTATCCGATAAGAAGTACAGGATACAATTGAAGGAAACTGACCATCTGGAAGGATTGGCTCAAAGTTTTCACGGATGGCTCTAAGACAAATGAAGGTGTGGGGTCTGGGGCTTTCTCTGAAGACCTTAATATCCACATATGCACACCGCTGGGTACCCACAACACAGTCTTCCAGGCTGAATGCATGGGTATCATCCAAGCGGCCATAGCAATAGATGCTAGGAAGGTGAAAGACTTCTCCATCAGAATACTGACCGACAGTATGGCGGTACTACAAGCACTGAGTTGCAATGTGACGAACTCGGGACTGATACACGAGTGCTACAATGTGATACTGCAATGGATCAAGGGACACAGTGGATCTAGAGGCAACGATGCAGCAGATGTACTGGCCAGAAGGGGATCGGCCCTAGCAACTATAGGGCCGGAACCAATAATACCAATCCCCTTTGGCTATGTTCGTTCACCGGTACGTAGATATTTCAATAATTTACAGGCTCAGCTTTGGAAAAATTTAGTAGACTGTAGACAAGCTAGGGAAGCCCTACCTGAAATAAACAACAGTAACCAAGGTACTAATGAGACTGAACAAGCCACAGATCAGGATAGTAACAAGTGCTATCACAGGACATGGCTCTTTTAACAAACATTTATTCGCCATAGGTGTTACTGACAGCCCCCTGTGCAGGGCATGCATGGGAGAGGAAGAAACGGCGGCTCACGTGTTGCTGACATGTCCAGAAGTCGCTTCATACAGGGCTAAACATCTCGGCACGCCGGGATCGCTCCCCCGAAATTGCTTGCAACATCAAGGGACTGCTGAGCTTCTTCGGGGAGATATCATGGCTCGAATAAGCATATTATTCCTGCCCACACGCAAAATACGCGCTTAGACGTGGAGTTGCGGAAAACAGCCCGTAACCCCCCTTCTACCCCTCGAGACATTGACGTAATTAATGAGTGGCTCCTTGTCACAATTCCCGCCAATTACATCAAATTATAGTACGCGTGCTCAATAATACGAGTACTAATCTCAGTTCCCAACATGCAAGGTACAAGTCTCCCTTCTTTACAGCGAGCGACGTTCATTAGTAACGTCAGATTATGTTTGTCATGCTGCAGCTATATTGTAGTATAGTTGTAGCGCGAATGGGTCGGCCTGACTGGAGAAGGACCACACTCTCACAGAATACCAGCGTAAAATAGAAGTAGAATACAAGTGTAAAGAACCAGAATACCTTCTTAATGGAAAGGAGGCACTCCGTTATACACTATGTATACTCATATATTACGTCGTAAGGTATTTCAGAGTCCACCTGATGTTAAGTGGTTGCGCCAGATGTATTAAGAATAAAGGATCGAGGTGATCTCTCACGCTATTTTACAGTGGGTATTCTGTGCTATTATTTTTTGGTAACATACCATTTCAATAGGCCTTTTGGCCTCCAGCTGCCTGGTCCTTATGGACGAATTGGCTGGCGAACTGGAGAACGAGCCTCTAGTGGCACGACGGGTCTCCGGCACTGCGCTGGATCTGCTTGAGGACCGCGACTCTCGACGGCTCTCCGGAACTTCGTTCTGTGTACAATACAGGCATTTTTTTAATAGGATAACAGTGATAAGTGAGCACACAGTCCAACTGCTGGTAAGTGGTTGGTGTAGCCCACAGACATCTACATCTATCCTCCTTTGCGAATCAAAACGCAGATACGATGCGATGTCTGCCATAAGTTCTAAGATGGAATGCTTCTTTTCCAGTAAAAAAAGGTCTCCAGTTCTCTACTCTCACACTCTGTGAGAGCGTGGTCCTTCCCCAGTCGTGCCAACACATTCATACTACAACTATTATAGCTGCTGCTACAATTAATATAGCTGCAGCTTGGCTCTACCATGTTATAATACACATATATATATATATATATATATATATATATATATATATATATAAAAGATAATATAGATATACATATATACATATTATCTTTTTTTAAATAAACATAACCTTCACACTAGGATTTTCTCCTGTATCATGGGGTTTACGTACATAAACTTCACAAGTACAAACATCCAGACCCGGAACAATTCTTTGTAGGCCATACAAATACTTATTTTTATTTATTAACTGTTCCGTGCGAGTTTCAAACCCGTGGCCTTTAGCACTGCAATAGCAAATTGAACAACATGGATAAGAAGATATCTGGGCGACGACTTTAAGTCCAGACTTTAACTTTTGCTTTTTCCCCCTGAATGAAAATGGCAGCACATTGATTTGTGCAATCAAAAATCTCAATGGGAAAAGCACCAACAACAAGTGCATTATTTCAAGTTTTTAAGTCAAATCGTAAAATAATTTTTAAAACACATATTCAAAGCTATACAATTGTTTCTTGCATACAATATTGTTATCGTTATTACGTGTTCATTAAATAATTATAATATATTACGATTATGTATAAGTTTTGTTTTATTATCAGACTTCGATGGGATTTATTCAATTCTAGCGTTAGTACTGGAAATTTTAGACGTCTCAATCACACCGTTTACTGAAGCATCTAAGCCTAAATATGATTTCAATAAAACCAATTATGATAAACTAAATGAAACTCTAAATAGCATCGATTGGCGAACACAATTACAATCTAGCACGGTCCAAGAGGCTTGTGATAACTTTTATAATATAATAAATGATGCTATATGCCAACACGTACCACTTAAGTCCTATCATAATAAATATAAATACCCTATCTGGTACAGTCCCGCTTTAATAAAAATAATTAAAGAAAAATCAAAAGCACACAAAAAATGGAAACGGTCTGGCAATTTATTAGATTATGACGAGTTTTCATTATTACGTAAACGACAAAATCGGGTTCAGGATGCTTGCTTTGCTATATATACTCAACGTACCGAGGAAGCCATTAACCCTCGGCGTGCCTGGTGGAAAAAAGTTACATGGCGTGCCTGGTGGGTCTGTGAGACCCAAATTTTAAATATTTTTTCTCCTACAAATTGATATCAATGTAGTATATTTTTTTGGTTTTATAATAAAATTAAACATGTTTTTAGGATTTCAAATAAAATACGTGTTCAAGTTAATAATATTTTTAATAGAATTTTTAATTAAACTTTTACCTCGTTTTTAACGTATAATTAAACAACTTATTTTCATAAACATGCAAAATCAACTAAAACAAAAGAAATCACAATCAGACTGTGGGGATCATAAGGCACATAAGGTTATCTTATATTCTAAGCTAAAATAATTAGTCTTCATCATTTTCAGGAACATTGCCTTTGAAGCAATTTCCGCACTGGAATATTGCATGATCTAGACACACGTAGCTTTTGCACGTCTCACAGATGTATTGAGTTTTACGGTCTTTCTTTGATGTACAAACGTAACATCTACGCCTTACACCTGGAGCTGTTTTTTTCACCGGTGGACCTTCGTCGAGACCAATACGGTCAGCAATTCGTTTGCGGAGATCTGTGGAAAGGCGAGTATTTTTCTGTCTTGTTTTTAAGATGAGATTCTATCAATGCGATACCCAGATCTTTGATAAAATTTCTGCGATTGTTTTTGATATCAGGGAAGTTCAGCATTTGAATAATTTTTGAATTTATACCTGCAGAGTTCAGCAACCAGAAAAACAGAGTGAGCGGCCATCTTCTGGAGTTTCTTGATACATCATAAGATCTAATAAGCTTGTCAACGTTTCACCACTTTTCGTTTTGTTATAGAACGTAATAACTGCTGGTTTTTGCTTCTCGCCTGATTGCAGGTCGATTTCCACATCATGATGGAGAGATGACAGCAGGAACACTTTTTTTCTAGGTTTTGGGACGTATGATACTAAAGTCATATCTTTTTGAAATCCGAACTGTGATGAATACATTGTTGAATTTGTTTTGAATCTTTCAGGTATGCAAGTTTTTTTTGATTTCATTGTACCGACAGCGGTTAGCTTATGATGATTTAGCAAGTGTTCATATGTTGGATAGCTCGTAAACCAGTTGTCCATCGTGATATTTCTCCCTGACTGAGAAACTGGCGCGACGAGGCGATCGACTACGTCGTGAGGCTTATTGCTGACCTTATAAGGTCCCTCTGGTTGCTCGCCTAAATAAATCTCCAAATTCAGAGAGTAGAATGTTTTGGCATCTACGAGCGCAAATATCTTTATTCCATATTTACCTGGTTTATTTGGCAAATATTGGCGAAATTTGCAGCGACCACGGAAAGCTACAAGCTCTTCATCTAGAGTCAAATTTTCAAAGGGCGTGTAGTGTTTTTGGCATCTGCTAACGAATTCTTCGAACAGTTTCCTGAACGGGGCTAGTCTGTCCTGTGACAGTCTTTCTTGACGTGTATCAACATCATCAAATCGCAAATGATTGACAATAAAAACGAATCTTCTCAAGCTCATTGTCATAGCAAAAATAGGAATACCAGTTCCATCATTACACCACAAGTCTTGTAAATTCTGCCTTGCAGATTTATATAATCCCGCAAGGTAAATTAGACCAATGACAGCCTTCAGCTCATCCATACCAACTTCTGCATAAGCGTAGTCATTTGAAGTGTTCAGACCAAGTCTCGTTCTTCGGATTCTCACATTTGTATGAATTAGTATATCCAGCAACATAGACTCGTCCACAAAAAGATTGAAACACTCTAAAGGAGTTTTTGCATCTCTCGCTAATACTTTGACACCCGGTGTTCCAGATATTATATTTTCACTACGTGTTCGAACGTTTGATCTAGCTGGAATTTTGTACCACAAAGTTCCGTCTTTACCTTTGTAAGTTCTTCCTGAGGGCCGCGAAGTTAACTCTGACAGTGGCACGTCCATTTCAGAATCTGAAGAGTTCTCATCATCAAGTATTTTGAAGAGGTCTTCCTCCGAATCGATCGAGTCGGTTTCATGAGTTTCTTCTGTAACCTCATCAGACTCTTCATCGCTGAAGTCGAATACAATATCATCTTCGGGATCTTCGTCCACCTCTTCGAGTAGCAAACTAACGATTTCCCTGTCCTGTAAGGACCTCTCCATTTTGAACTGTAAAGAATATGATACTATAAAGTTGAATTCCAAACAAAATAAAGAAGTATTGAATAAAATACATCAAATCGTAAAAAGACAAAATAAAACAATAATAATCTCGAGTATTATATATAAAATATGTTACTATTTAAAATATTATGTTTATTTTTAACAAATTAATGACACAAAACCACTAATAGCAACAAATGAATACTTACATGAAAACGTCACGCCGTATGCCTGGTGGGGTCTGCGAGACCCGAGCGCACTTTAGGCACGTCCTTTCACTACTGGAGCACGCCCCGGACTGAGGTAGCGGGCGGAGGGTGTCAATTAGTTCACTACGGTCAGCTACTGAGAGCAGTTGCGAGCGAATTTCAAATTACAATGAATTATAACCGTTTGACGGCTGCGGTGGGTCTCACAGACCCAACCAGGCATGCCAAGGGTTAAATACAAACCGAGGTTATTCTGGTCATACGTTAAGTCTTTGCGTGGTGGATCGAATTATCCAAAACAATTATCATACCTCGGCAATAAAGTAACGGGTGGTAAAGAAATATGTGATACTTTTAATACTTTTTTCAAAAACGTTTTCGGTGACCCTTCTGATAAAATATTAGAAGAAAGCAATGCCACTTCTACATATGATAATATATCTAAACTTTTTATCCCTACATCCACTATTGAGAAAAGACTTAGACTACTTGATATTTCTAAAGGAGCAGGATGTGACGGCATTCCCCCTTTATTTTGGCGTAACTGTGCTAAAACTTTGTGTGTCCCTATCGCTATCATTTTTAATATGTCTCTTAGCGAAGGTGTATTTCCAGATATATGGAAAAGAGCACACATTGTTCCTGTACATAAAAAGGGAACTAAAACTAAAATTGAAAATTATAGGGGCATTTCAATTTTAAATACTATTGGCAAAGTTTTTGAGAAAACCATTTATGATGTTATATATCCCGTAATATGTAAGGGACTGCCAAAAACTCAACACGGATTTCTAAGGTATCGTTCTACTATCACTAATCTGGCGTGCTTTTCTAACTATGTTTTGTCTAATATGGATGGAGGCGGTCAGGTAGACGTGGTCTACACGGACTTCGAAAAAGCTTTCGACCGTGTGGACCATGTCATTTTACTGAATAAACTACAATTGTTAGGCATACATGGAGATTTACTCAGGTGGATAAAATCCTATTTGAGTAACAGATCCCAGGCTGTTGTAATAGGTGGATATAGATCGGACTTTATCAAAATACCAACAGGCATTCCTCAAGGATCACATCTGGGGCCTTTACTGTATAACGCTTATATTCACGATATTACTACTTGTTTTAAGTTTTCACAACATTTAATGTACGCCGATGACAAAAATTTTTTTTACAATATCCGTACTGAGCAGGACTGTCATCAAATGCAAACTGATTTAACCGCTTTATCAGCTTATTATACTGCTAACAACATAACAATTAATATTGATAAATGCGAATGTATTAGCTTCACACGTAAAAAAAACCCTATTTC